CTTAAACCTCCCTGGCCTGCCTTCAGTCTGTACAGAATGCTGCAGCAAGGCTGCTGACTCAAACTGACAGAAGAGTACCCATAACTCCTGTTCTTGCCTCCCTGCACTGGCTTCCTGTGCACTTCAGGATTAATTTAAAAATGTTGGTTTTAACTTTCAAGGCTATCCACGGCCAGGCTCCGAAATACATTCTTGACCTTTTGGATCCTTTAGCGTTGTCTAGGAATCTGAGGTCTTCAAGTCAAATGTTATTGTCTGTAATGTCTGTAGACATTTTTAGTCAGATAGGCTTTTACTTAATGTTGTTTAATGTTGTTTTTTTTTTTTTTTTTGCTTTTTTGTTTTGTTTAAATTATCTTGCCTTTGTGAAGCACTTTGTGACTTATATCTCAGTGAACAGTGTTATAGCAATAAAGTTTTACTTACTTAATTACATATAAAGATCTTATTATGTCCAAGCCTTTAGTTTAAATAGAAATCTATTTCGTAAAAAAACTAAAAGCTGTTTGTCCCAAGCTTAACTTTTCAACAAGACCAACTTGGGTGTATTTGAGATGATAAAATCAGAAGCTTTCTGAGCTCCAGCAGAGGGCCGGGACATCCACCTACACCAGTCTGGAAGCAGTGAGTCACACACGAAGAAGTGAAGCAAAACTTATTTACCTTACTGGAATATATGAACATATCTCTGTTGGTACACACAGATATTCTCTTTCCTCCAGCCTCCAGTCGATCCTCCCTGGACTCTCCTCAGACATTATTCAGTCTCTCCGTGGCTCCCAGTTGACTCGAGCTCCTCAGCTTCAGCAGCTGGATGAGTTGTGCTAAAGTTGTTTTCATTGTTTCATTCTCTCCTGTCGCTTGGCTTTCTTGCATAGTGAAAGTCTTAGAGCTCTCAGCACTGCCAGTTTAATTGTCTCTTGGTTTGTGTGTGCCTGTTTGTAAGCACTGGATATGAAATGCGTAGGCGTTTTGTTTAAATGTTGAAGGATGCATCAGAGCTTTCAGGTGGTTATTGCTTCAGGCTTCCCCTAAAGGCTGATTTTTGCGTGGACACAGTTCAGCTACAGTTTGCAGTTTAGTTGGTTTGAGCCATCTGTGGTGCCGACTGGAGTCTGAGCGTGACATTCTTTTCGTTCTTCTGGGACACTTTGAAGCTCTCAGCTTCTCCCTCTTCATAGTTTTACAAACATCTGGTTAATCATTTGTGAACAGACACATTAGTGGGACCCATAATGTTGCTGCTTTTATTTTTTTTATTTTTTTCAGATACACCCCAATTCACAAACAGGATTGTTAAAGTTTGTAGTCCAATTTTAATGAATCATTTCAAGAGAAATAGAGTGAAGTGGGATTCTATGGCAAGGTTGGAAACAATCATCATCTTACTTCCTTCTTATGTAGCTCAATTAACAGCTTTAGAGTAAATAAATAAAAATAATTTGTGACCAGATCGCTAAGCAACTAGTCTGAATGGGGTCAAGATCAAATTAAATATTTGCTATCTTGCAAGCTATTAATAAAAAGTACTGTCAGTTTTGCATTACACAGCACAATTACAAGCACAAATGGTGACATCATCAGCCATCTGTGAACACATCCAGTGCAGTCTGGGCTCTTCAGGCAGGAATATTAGGAATAATAGTTAATTTACCAGAAATTAATGTGCGTTTGGAGATTGGGTTATTTAAAAATGGTAATCCATTTTGATATTTGCCTTGCTCTGACCAGCTGCTTGTCAGAACTTAAACAATATTTTTTCCAAGCTGAGGCCATTCAAAGAGCTATCTAAAGCAGGTAAGATAATAAAAGTCCTCAGGCAGCTGAGGCGAGCTGGTCTGGGACGCTCAGTCCTCACCTCCTTCTACAGATGTGCAGTGGAGAGTATCCTGTGCTCCAGCATCAACATGTGGCATGGAGGCTGCACAGCTGCAGAAAGAGAAGCTTTACAGAGAGTGGTGAAGGCTGCACAGAAGTCTGTTGGAGTCAGTCTCCCCACCATCACAGACATTTACACCTCCAGATACAGGAAGAGAACCACCTGAATCATGAAGGACCCCACTCACCCAGCACACACACTTTTTGCCCCGCTCCTCTCAGGAAGGAGGTTAAGGAGCATTAAGTGTAGAACCACTAGACTGAGGAACAGCTTCTACCCTGAGGCTGTTAGACTCATGAATCTCTAACCAGAATAATCACTGTGAAAAATCACATCATGTTGCTGCTGATCTGTTTCATGTTGCTGCTGATCTGTTTCATGTTGCTGCTGATCTGTTTCAATGTTGATGTGTTCATTTGTGCTCATCTGCTCACACAGACTCATGTTCATGCTGCCGTTCAACATAATGCTTTAATGCTACTAGTGCTTAGTGTATTTTTAGTTGATGTTTTTTTTTTTTTTACTTCATATCTTAGATGTTATCATTGTTTTTCTTTTACATTTTATTGTTGGATGTAACTGGGACCCTGTGTACATAATTTTGTTCCACCACATGTACCACATGGGTTGTGAATGACAAATAAAGAACCTTGAATCATTGAATCCTTGAATAATAACTGATAATAACCTTTTCACTCATTCCCGCTTTATTATTGTAAATGAATACCTGAGGGAGAATTCAAGGAAACCTTCCCACTTTATTTATTTTTTTTTCTGCACACATACAGCTGTGCATCACTGAGATTAAATACAGGATACTTCATCACTAACTTTGAACTCCCAGAGCTCATAGACCAGTGCTGTGTTTTCTGTGCTAGCAAAACAAATCTCTTCTCTTGTATTTCTTTTGAATACATGTTCGTATTTTAAAAAAAAATCCTTTGATTAGTCTTCTTTAAGTCCTTCCTTCCTATTTCCTTTGCTGTATGAAAACAAACCAGACACACAGCATGGTTGCCTCACTGTCCCATTGTAATAACAAAAGTTGTCCAAAATAAACCTTTCTGTACATTTAAAGTTTATTTTCAGTGATCATGTCATACTCTTTGGTTCTAATAGAAAAATAAGCTAAACACAGATTCATTGTAGCCATTATAAAACATGTCAGAACATCCACTGAATAGCACTCATTAATGTTCCCGGGAACATTCAAGCTCTTCATCCAACATTAGCTCTTCCCTGGGAACTCCTTTAAAGGAACGCATGCTCAGCATCATTTGGTTCTGATGATAATCTATTAATGGATTCAATATACTTGAAGTAATGCAAATATTTCAGCAGTAAAAGTGTGCTGGTGAAGATTCTCAGTCATCCAGGACATGATAAATTCAAAAAACGTTTAACACAAAAACATCTGGACTTTATTTGTAACAGAAGACGTTTCGCTCCTATGTCGCTATATGTTGCTCCTCGGATGAGGAGCGAAACGTCTTCTGTTACAAGTAAAGTCCAGTTGTTTTTGTATTGAACGTTTTTTTGAAGCAGTAAAAGTGGTGTTGTCGGGAAGAAGATAGTAGACTAGATGTTGTTTTATTCACCTGACATTTTCAATCTGTCATTTGAAACTAAAATTAAAAATATCCTTAGCTATATCTTTATTGCATTTAACGTAATTTTCGGACTATAAGGCGCATTAAGTGAAACAGAACAGTCAGATAAGTCAAACTTTAGGCAACTCATTCACAATGACCACATAAAATCAGTTCGAGGTCAGAAAGCACAACCATAATTAATACATAAGGCACACCGGATTATAAGGTTCACTGTCAATTTTTGAGAAAATTAAAGGATTTTAAGTGTCTCTTAAAGTCTAAAAAATACGGTATATCAACTATTTGCTTGACATAAATACTAATTAAACCTCAAGCATCTTACTAAAGATGCAGCCAAACCTCCACAACGCTTTGAGGCTACTATGCACTAGAGGCCAGAAGAAGTGGCCAAAGTGCATCATGTCTGTGTAACAGAATCTGTTTCCAATGTGAAACCAGTTCCTAATCACTATGAATATGTTGCAATTTAAAAGAAAAAGATTTGCACGATTGGGCATTGAGTGGAGACATTTTTGTTCTAACAGTTTGTTCGGGCTGAAGGATTCTCGAGGAACTCTAGACATACCTCATTAAATTGTAATACCAATGTGCTGTAGCTGTTTCATACCACAGCCACAGCTGAACTGCAGGGAGCTGTATCAGTGCTCTTCCACCATGAGACCTTTGCACAAGTTCTGTGTTCTTGTAAAAACATAGCTAAATAGTTTGCAAATGCATACCTACAAAATACATTAAATGTTTGCAAGAAAAATGATGAAGGATGTCTTATTTGATCAACTCAGTCATTGTTGAATGCATTTTTTTCATTACAAGTTCAAACTACAAGCCCATTGTCTTTCAGGTGTTTTCTATTATTTTCTTGCCAAATGTGTCCTAAATGTTGTTTTTTATAGAGGCCAAAACAAAGCGGTGCCTTTTTTGCAGAACGAGTAGTTCTTTATTGGCTCAACCTGCCAGAATGCCTTTTACCTCTGGTATTTTCCTCAAAACGCATTTGCTATGCCTGGACATACCAATTAGGATTAAGTGGCTAAACAAATCGCTTAAGGACACAGCAGTTCTCTTCTATGAGGATAATGCCGTCTTAGCTGCTCTCTTGAATTCTGCCGCAGTGAAGATATTTGAAGTTGTTACAAAGCCTGCTGACTCTGAGGTTAACGCTGGCCAGCAGTGACTACAGCTACAGAGGAAGAAGCCTAAGGGTTTTGTTTCTGGTTGAAAAAACTGAAAGCAAAAGCTCCAAATAGGTCAGTCAAATGTGAGTAGTGAGAATACAGAGAAGTCTAATGACAGGTTGGAACTGTGAGGAATCTACTGTATGAAACAAATGGGGACCTTAATTACTGTTATATGAAAACAAGGAATCAAATAGTGTGTGAGTGTATCTTTGACTTTAACGCTGCCACCTTGTGATATTTTTAGTATTCTAGGTGTCGTTGTTGGCATTTTTTTTTTTTCTGAGTTTTTCTTTAAAAAGGTTCATCTGTCTTTTCCCTTTCTTTTCTCAGAATGCTCCGGACCACTGGGCATGGAGGGTGGTATCATCTCCAACCAACAGATCACAGCCTCCTCCACCCACCGCGCTCTGTTTGGCTTGCAGAAATGGTACCCATACTTTGCACGCCTCAACAAGAAGGGCCTGGTCAATGCTTGGACTGCTGCCGAAAATGACAGATGGCCGTGGATCCAGGTAAGACACCGTCACATGACAGGCGTCGAGCAAAGCTGGGCCAGGATAAAAGCTTATTAAAACGCAGGTGCAGCCTTAATTATAAATAACCGCTTGCTGTTTGCATCTTTAAATAGTAAAGATGTACCTGTGCTTTTAGGTTGTCTCATTCGTCACTTATCTGTAGGTGAGGATTAGTCAAAAGTGTAGATGCTGTGGATTTACAGTGCAAGGTTTAATACAGATGTGGTGCATTTGATGGCAAATTGCAAATGGAAAAACAGATGAAAAAGATATAAAAAAAAGGTTTTATGCTAGAGCAGACTCAAATTTTGTTAGTGTGAACAATAAACTGAAAGAGCATAATATTATCAAGAATCTAATGTGTATCAATTAGTGCTGATGAGTTTTAATTTAGCATTTTTCAGTAAGGTTATTGCTTATTTTAATGTTTATGTTGCATATGAAATTGTCTTATATGCACTTGCACTGCTTTTATTAACTGCTGCCAAGGGCAAAAGGCTGATAATGTTTGTATTTGGGTGTACGTGCATGTGTCCATCTGTGTGTGTGTTTGTCTGTAGCATCAGTAAAATATCTTATGAACCAGTGGACAGATTTTTTTGTTTTTATGAAACTCTTTGGAATAATCATCAGATGTACAAGTGATTAACTTTAGGAGCCACCCCAATTCAAGATGACCTACTATTATAAAACTGAATCAGTTAGTTTTACAGATGTTGAGCTAAAGTTAGTGTGATAGTAGCTGAGACTTATTTTCTGAGCGTTACATTGAGTTTGATCTCACAATAGATTATGAGATTGTGTATAACACTATTTAAAAGGTTGTACCAAAACAGCTAAAACTCTGTCTGTTCTTAGCACAAGATGAATTTATATTAAAAGTATGGCGTGGTATGTGAATTATAATAGTCAATCCTTTAAGGAATGTTGGGGCTTTAATATTTATCATGTAACAGTAACTGTTTGTACAGTTGTTTGCCTATTTACAGTATCTTTTTGTACTTGATGGTCAAATGTTTCTTTTGTTCATTATTAATAATTGAATGAGGTGACAGCAATGCCAGCATGGCTCCATAAGTTGATGAGATAAAAATAATAAATAAATAAATAAAGGCTTTTTTTCATGTATGTCACAAAGAACAGATATGGTGGCTGTTGCATACAACATTAAATTTAGACACTCCTTCACTAGAGAGGATGGGGCAGGGGAAGGGCTGTACAGTTTATTACAATTAATAGGAAAAATGGCTTTCCAAAATTAAATTAACATTTTTTAAAAGAACAAATTGTGTTTATTTTAGTGCTAAGGTTTGAGATTAGCTTGAATGCAGAACAATAAAGATTTGATAGCAGCTGTGGTCATTTAAAAAAATTAAAATAATATTGTCTTTGGCGTGATTTCCAAGAAAAAACTTTGTCACAAAGCCTTTGAATAATCCATTCCATTAATGTGTTGTGTTTTTATATATATAGATTCTGATGTGCAAACCAATTTGCAATCATACGGACAGTTTGATGTTTAATTTTACTCCCTAAATCAATAGAAACAGTAATTTCCATGCTCAAGTCCCTCTCTTTTGCCTTTTGTATGGTAGTTTTTTATAACCACCTACAGGGCTTTTTATCTGAAAACAAGCTCAGAAATTAGAAGCAAAAAGTTCATGTTTATTTCATCAAGGCATTGATAACATGAAACTCTCTCTCTCTCTCTCATTGTTAATGGTAACATTCATGCTGTGCCATTAAGCGGAGCTTATTTCAAAAGAGCGACATAAACAGATCGATAACATCCCCTCATCACATACATTCATTCAGTTCTTGCCAGCTCTGCCCTGATCCAGATCCCAGTGTTTTTGTTTCCTGGAAGAACAAGTAGATACAAAGCAATGGTCGAAAATAGTTTCACTCCCCCTACATTCAGTAGAGACTTAGGTTAAAATGGTGGGTTTTCATTTATGTTGGGCAAATGGTTAAAACATGACTGACTGGCTGCATGTAAAAATAAAACACTGTGTCTTTGTACCAGTAAAGTAACATGATGGCCTTATTGTAGAAACCCACTCATTTTGAACAAACTCTTACATTGATCATTTGCTCACAAATTAAACATTTTCATGTCGCTCCAAAAACAAACAAAAAACATGAACGTGATTTTTAACTAGCTACATTGTATCAACGTGATTATAACATTACCTGTGAACACAAAATATATTTTTTTCTAAATACAGTGGTTTGGGCAGTTTGTATCTAGATATCTCACATCTTGATTCCACAGAGAAACAAAAGAAGAAAAAAGTTACAGAAAGACCAAAGAACATTAAAAATGTTTGTAGTCTGCCACTTCTCAGAACGGCAGGACTGTTTAAACACACAGGGACTGATGAGATCTACTGAGCACGGAGTCATAACTTTATTTTATTTTATTATAAATTCTAAAAAAAATGCAGCTATTCTCTAAACATAAAGCAGGCCTTTTAATTGGGTATGAACAAAATACATTTTACATAACTCTGAACCTTTGTCATGAACAAAATCCAAACTTAAAATCAAATTATATGGATCATAACATGGATAGCTAAAAAAAAAACATTTAATTAAAAACGTGTGCAACACATTACTGGTGACAATAGTTGAGTCTTATCCAGTAACAACAGGTGTATTGAATATTGTTGATCTGTTCAAAGGGGTTTTGTTTAATCATAATCAATCTGAATTATGTCTAAACAATCCAGAAATACAGTCTTTTTGCCTGCATTAATTATTATTTAAGAAACAAACTTTGCCACAAAATGTGATTTTATTTTTTTTATTAAAATGTGATTTTTTTTTTTTTTTATTAAACTCAAAGTCCACAAACATTTCTGCCTTTCGTGCAAAAGTTTTAAACAAAAGTCTTGTGCAGAAGTCAAAAGATGTGTGAATAAACGACTGCAGAATACGTGTCACACACACACGTGCTCTTTTAGTGATTCGGGTACACTCATTCAGTCTTTATTTAGACAGGTTAATCCCATTGAGCCTCGGGGACTCATTTACAAGAGAGACCTGGACATAAATGTCTTAGCTGCAAACAAGGCAGCTGGGTAAGAGTCGCTGTCTGAAAGACAACAAAATGTGATGACCCTGACAAAAAACTAAAAACAGGTTTAGCTGCAGAATGTTGATCAAAAGTTGGAACAGTTTAGCCAAAATGAAGACATTTTCTAAAAGTTCTTCAAACTCTATAACGTGACTTAATTCTTTCTGTTGGTTATTTGTTTTTTGTACAAATGCATGCCCCTTTTTACACCAAGACGCCTTGTTTGCTACAAAAAGTATATATTTATTAGTTAATTATTGTTTATTAATTAATTATTAGAATCGGGTCTCTCTTGTAAATGTGTACCAAAGGCTCAGTGGGATTAACCTGTATAAATAAAGGTTGAATGAAATATGCAATCAGTTGAAGTGCAACGTTTGTATTAGGAATGACTCTCAGCTACCACCACACTATATTTTAGCTCAGTATCTATAAAATTGACTGAGTCACAGCCATAGTTGTTTTTATTCAAATCAATTACCAGTGGGTGTGGTGGCCTTTTTATCTTGGATCAATGTTGTAGCTTTCTGAGGGTTGGGTTAAAATCCATACACCAAGTCCTGGGACATTTTGCTAAAACCAAACAAACACAAAACATGCAAGCAGTTACATGGTTACCCATCTTTTATGGTGGCACGTAACAATAATGTTCTTATCGCTCAGTAATCCACATGGAAATATAATACGTTATCTAGTTTTTACATCTAAGCAGATACTTTAGATCAGGTTTGTTTGTTTGTCTTTCAGCCTGGTTTGTCTTTTCTTTCTTTAAATGACGGTGATGATGAGTGATGGCAAGCTTTGAGGTGTGTTGGTGTCTGGTACGTGATAGAAAGACATTGAACCATGAAAGAAGCATAATAGAAAAAGCACACTACATTGCGACAGAATGGTGGAGAAACAGAAGCTGTACATAGTAAGAGAAGAACAGTAAGGCAAGGCAGAGATGAATTTATTTTTAAAAAAGGCATTGGGGGAGGGCTAAAAGAGGAAAGAAAGCCGACGTGGAAAAGGTGAGGAGAAAGGGACATAAAAAATTCAAGCTGTGTGTTTGACTTTAATGATGCCGTGTGGGATGTTGCGCAGGATGCTGCAGGCATTGTGTGTTTCTACAGAGGGTCTGGGTAATTGGGACATGAGTACAGAGGTGTACAGACATGTCAGGGTTTTAGGATTAAGCTAAAAAGTCAGCGGTGTGTCTGCAGGGAGAAGCGATGTAGCAAGACTGCATGTCTGTCATTCGAAACAGGCTAATATTGACAGATGACAACCTTATCAGTTTCTACTGGGCTCAGTTTGTCTTTGATTTTTTCACCTTTTTCTCTGGGACTTTAAACATCTGGATTTCAGTATCCAATGTCATCAATCAAACAAAACCAAAAAAAAGAACCGCGTTGTTGTAGCGATGCATTACAAAGTCTCAGACAAAACGTTGAATATGTGTCTGTTTATTTTAGTTTGCAGGCTTTTAATTTGGCGGTTTACACACACTTGCTGCCGTTCATATGCCAACGCAGTGTGAGAATGCAAGTTTTCCACAACCTCACCACATCCTGCTCGCAAAATTGCATTCGAACACTCAAGGGAAATATGCTGCCGGTCCCACCAATATCAGTAAGATATTGCTTCAGCCAGCTGTGTTGAAAAAATGAAACAATACAAATCATTTGTGACGGCTAAGGGGGTCTATTTTAATGGAAGTTACATAGTTAATGTCATAATGTTTGGACGCAGATCTCTATCAGTTATTTTACATTTACTGGAACCTATAGGGCCAGCTGAGGAAACTGGTGATTTGACTCTATCCAAAAAAGCACCAATGAGAGTGGCTTGTTCTGTTAATCCACTAACATCATGCAGATTTATGAACACAGACACAGGCAGTTGATTGATTAATCAAAGTAACCTTTTAAGTACC